AGTGGATTGCAAGGTAAGGTGTCTTTTTCATTCAAAGTTAGTAGTGTGCACTAAATGCAACTCGGTAACTCTAACGGACTGTGTTATTTAATAAGTAATTTTTCTGTCTCTTTTACTCAAGACTGCATTTCTTAGTTTAAAATGCTGCTGTGGCGTGGCAGAAGCTGGAGAAATTTGTTGTATCTTTTAGAACAGGCTTATAAATGCTTCTGACTTTCTAAGCGAAGCAGATCTGACTTCATATTTCTCCTATTTCTGAAGAGACTTATCTATTTGGAGAGGTAGATTTTGATTAGTAAGTTACACTTCAAAAAATGTGTTGTATGTACATCAGATACAGCATGTCAGTGGGGCAAGATCTGTGTCTAAAATAAAAAAATAACTTTGGGAAATTGTTCATGGACCATTCCATCTATCTTTGAGACTAATTCTGTGGGCAAATAAGTTTCTCTGTGGTTCAGACTTTTTAACTGAAATACCCCCGTCAGCGGGGCAAGATCTGTGTCTGAAAATAAAAAATTAACTTTTTGGGAAATTGTTCGAGGACCACTCCATCTATCTTTGAGACTAGTTCTGTGGGCAAATAAGTTTCTGTGTGGTTCAGACTTTTTAACTGAAATACCCCTCCCAGTTGTTACGCTGCAGTTCAGTGCAGTTCTGATCATACGTGTGGCTGTTGGTTTTGTGGGTTTGGTTTTTTTTCTCCTGAGGTGGCTTCCTATTTTCTACTATAATTTGTATATCATTGCTTCTAATTTTTGCCACAAGTGCACTAAAACAAGCACACAGAGTTTGCCTGGGCACAGAAACCTTCCCAGTGACTTTTGCCACAAGTGCACTAAAACAGGCACACAGAGTGTTTGCCTGGGCACAGAAACCTTCCCAGTGATAACCAAGGGTCTACCAAATTGCCTCATTTTATTCAGTCTTAACTTCCATGGCTCGGTATAGATTATGGACAGATCTTTTTTTGTGGTCTTCTGTAGTCTGCCAGTTACCAAAATATTTCCTATTGCCACTGTATTTACATAAAAAAAATTCTGTCATGTCTTAATGTTTCCTTCAATGCCTTTATTTTTTTCTATTCAGTTGTAAATTGGAAAGTGTGTTGTAGAGTTGATGGAAACATCTTTGAGTGCATCTTGTAATTTTTTGGTAGTAATTGCAGTATGAGACAAGTTGTATAAAATAGTTTGGTTTCCTTTTGGAAGTCATTCCCTTAGGAAGTGAAATGTACACTTCTGTGTAGTTTAGGTCTTCTAGATATTTGTGGTATTGCCTGTTTGATTTACATGGTGAATACAACGACGCACGTAGTTCTTCATAACACAGATTAACTATACAAAATAAGGCAAAAATACAATGAAACTGTCTTGAGTAAATATCTTGCCTTTTATTTGGAATAAGGTTCTTGTTCTTTGACTGGGTAAGTAATAAACTTCTGAAACTTGTTTTTTAGGCTATGACATGTCAACGTTTATCAGACGGTATAGCAGGTATCTGAATGAAAAGGCAGTTTCCTATAGACAAGTGGCTTTTGACTTCACAAAAGTAAAAAGAGGGTAAGGATTGCATTTTTGGTTTACTTATCTTGAGGTTTTGTCTCATGTCCTGTAATTCAAGTAGAAAATACCGATGTTGGCTCCTTAGTAGACTCAGTAGACAGTAGCGTCTGCTTTTCTCCGTTGGATACTTCACATCATGCACAAAGCCTCAACTGCCCAATTAGGCATTATACAAATTTTTTTTTTGCTTCAGTTGTTGTAATTTTGCTTCTTTATATTAAAGTATTAATGTTTAAAGAAATGAAAATAGTATGTATCAAAGTATATATCAAAAAAAGTAGAAATTTGGACAAATCTTCCACGGTACATCACAAAGTTACTTTGTCTTAATGAACTCACAAAAATCTCAACCTAAAACTTCTGAGTGAGTTAAGGGCAGTAGTGGGCTGCCTAATGGTATCTCACATTAGTGTTAAAAAGCTAAAATTGGCCCAAGAAGACTGTCCAAATCCCATATGCCTCTTTGCTAATACTGTACAGTTCACTTTATTTTGAAAAATGTGATGGTAAAATCTAAGGGGAGCTTTTGGGTTCCTTTCACTGTTTCTGCTTTTAGAGATGGCTGGAGTCCCCACAGCAGAAAACACTCAGCCTTTTCCTCCTACAGGATGTGTGCATGGTCAGGTGGCTGCAGTTACACCAGAGAGTTACACAACTGCTTGAAAATCAGGTGTTTTAGGCAAAATGAGGTGAATTATTTAGCCCAGAGCATCTGTGAGCCAGCAGGAATAACTGTTCTGGTGGCAGCAATCTCCCTTTTCCACCCCTCAGTGTTTCTTGAGGGCTGTGGGCCATGCCCTGCCACGTTAACTTTGGGGCAGCTGCTGGTTTTGGGAGGACTTATCTCACATAAGAGTTGTTTCTTGTCACTGAGGTGACTCAATCTCTTCCTCAATTGTTGCTTTTCCTGAATATTTTTAGACTTTGTCCATTTAATCTGGACAATTAATAAACAGCCAAATGTTGGTAGTCAGCCGTTAAAAGGAAGTGTCATGTAGTCTCAATAAGCTTTCTGAAAAAGCTTGACAAATACATTGCCACATTTATTTATTCTTTCTTACTGCTTTTAGTTGGAAAGAAAATCATCCAAACAGACATGAAACAATCAGTTTCCAATCAGTTGATTGGGAAAAGCGGAGATAAAAATTTGCTTCAGAAATAACCTTCATAGTACTCTTTGATGACCTTGTTGCATTGTAGCTCTGCTAAGTTTCTGAGCACTATCAGTTTCATCTCCTCAGGATAAAAATTGATCTTGGAGTCATATTTTGGCCATATAAAAATTGTTGCTGGACAGCATTCCTCAGCATCAAAACACCTGCTTTGAATGGCCATGATATAAATGTTTTCTGTGATGCCCTATTTTAATTTTCTGCATTTTGTTGCTCATTAACAATTGTATTCAAAATTCAGGTGAAGGATTCTCTTTTGTTTTGCACAACAGGGCTGATGGAGTGATGAGAACAATGAGCACAGAAAAGCTCCTAAAAACTGTACCGATTATTCAAAATCAGATGGATGCACTTCTTGACTTCAACGTAAGTTCAGCGGCACGTACATGTCTTAATGTACTGGGAACCTGCAGAGGCTTGTAAAATAGGGCAAGATTAAAGGTCTTAAACTTCCATGTTCATCCTTTTGTGTCAATGTCACCTGCACAGCTTGGAGTACAAATAATTTTGGTCATTGACATACTCCCAAGAAACGAGAAAAAGGAAGCAGGGTAACCACTGGAGAGGGTGCTTTGTGCTGAATTAGTGTTGTTTATTGTGTAAGATTTTTTTTTGTTCATGTAATTGATTATTTCTGCCCTCTGTCTTTTAGTTACGTTTGTTAACATAGATATTAGTCAACAAAAATGTCTGCCAAAATTATTTGATTTAATTCTGTGCTCAGAGATCCTGTGTTGATTTGCTGGGCTGCTATTTTCCACTAATAACCAGTGAGATGACTGGAAAAGGTGCCTTGGGATAGGATACCCGTGTTCAACTAGAAGTTTTTTCAATAAGGGATCAATTCAGTTAAATTAACTTTTTTCTGATCTTCCTAGGTCAATAGCAATGAACTTACAAATGGTGTCATTAATGCTGCCTTCATGCTTCTCTTCAAAGATGCCATTAGACTGTTCGCTGCGTATAACGAAGGGATTATTAACCTCTTGGGTAAATATAACTGCTTTCTGCAATGCTAAACTGCTGGGAAGAAACAATTGCAAAGAGCTGCTCTTTTCTGAGAAATCAAAAGAGTCATACTGTAAACCAGCAAAATATTATTATTTCCAACATTTTTCTGTCCAATTGCATTTCCCATTGTATTATATACAGAGATTGGTAAATTTCTGAAAGAGAAACTAATTCAAGATTTTTTCACTTCATTTTGTTCTCACACTGTTTTGAGGTTTTCTAGTTATGTTGTTTTGTTTTGGTTTTTTTTTTAGTTTTTGTCCCACTGAACTGCATGGCAAACCCAAACCATGATATTGATGTTTCTTATTTAAGAGACAAGATCAGGTTTCGTTCCTTTTTAAGTAGAATAAGTTATGGTCAGTTAGAAATTTGCAGTCAAGCATCTGTGATTGACTCTTGAAACTTTAATGTCAGTTGGTTTAATGATTGGTTGGCTTTGGTTGGCTTTTTTAAGGGGAATTACAAATTCAGGCTTCAAGCCCTTTCACTTGCACACACTGGAGATGCAGAGGAGCCTAAATCTGGAAAAGAAGTTGAAAGGAATCTGATATGCTTGGTTTAGTTGTATTCTGTGATTGGGCCAAGCTGCCTGATTGCTGTTATTACCCAGTGCTTGCAAAATGGAAAGCAGAATTAGTGAGGGGCAGTCACACCTCCAGTCTGAAGTCCCTGTCTACTTCTTTTGTCTCAGCCAGAAGAACAAGCACACAGCTGCTTTCATGTGTGTTTTGAGAGAAGCTTAGTACAGAAACAGGGCTTGAAAGTGCTATTTCAAGAAGGGAGTTGGCACCAGTGTTTTGCAGTCGGTTGGACCTCAGTGTAGATCACACTGTAACAAGAAGCATCAGTCTGGCAGTATCAAAATCTTGCCTGGTTTGTGGCTGCTGGAACAGAGTAGGTGATGGATTGCCAGATTGTAAAATTGCTCTTTTTTCCCCCAAGAGCGTAGATATAGATTTCTTTGGGTGACCCATTCTTAAACCTGATTGTCCTCTTCAGGGTGCTTATGCTTTAGTGAGATGTGGCACCTGTAAGGTGATGTGTAATTGCATGTTTGTGATCATTAGCTCTTGTTTAGATGGAGCTTTTGTCACTTGGTGCGAGTTAGGTGTAGTGACTTCTGCACTTCACGTGATAAAATACATCTGCAGGTGTTTTCTGTTTGTCTTGTTCTATGTGCTTTCACTTTGCATATCCTTTGCAGAATCCTTGCCTTCTTATTTAATGCAAATATTCTTACTGTTTATAGAAAAATACTTTGATATGAAAAAGAACCAGTGCAAAGAAGGCCTTGATATATACAAGAAGTTCCTCACTAGAATGACGCGGATCTCGGAGTTCCTTAAAGTTGCAGAGGTAAACTTCAGTCAGCCAACCTTTGCCCTTTCTTTGAAACAGCTTATAAAATGCTTATTTTCTCATAAAGGAGGTAATTCTTCCTTCCAGCCTAATTGCAGTTCAAGGGTCATCTTGTCAGTGTCTACCGTGGTGATTGGTTCGTTAGAGGACTGTATTGAAAAACCTGGCTACAAAATATGTGTTGGTTTATCTTAGGGTGTGAAACAGCATTTTAAAATTCCTTTGATCACAATAATTGTGAGCTTTGTTTGAAGAGCCTTGCTTTAAACAAATAAAGTAACCGTGTGGTGATCTGCTGCTTTCTATGATTCTGCCTGGATTCTGGTTTGAAACCCACAGTTCTGCCAGAAGTGTTAAATAAAATGACAACTTCACAAACAAGAAATTGAGACAAGTAGATGAACATGTGATTATTTTTAAAGATGTCTTGCCTATAGATGTGTTTATAGGGGAAAAAGCAGTTACCTTGCAAGATGTTTTGTTGTTTTGTTTTTTTAAAATTAATCTGTTGCATTGTTGTTTCTGAAGCATTGCTGAATTGATGTCCCAGTATTGTGGAATTCCTCAGTTGAGATGTTCTCCTGTTCTTCCTGTTCTTGTTTTGTTTTCCTTTGTTGTTCATAACTCTAACAAAAAATTAATCAGTAGAGCTTGGCTCGCTGTCTGTCCTGATAGAGTATCTCCGTCAGAGGTACTGCCTTCAGCTCTCTTCAGTTGATGGCACTATCTACAGATACTGAGAGAATTAATCTTTCTATAGCAACGATGAATATCCTGCTGCAGAGCACCTTAAGTTTGATCTGTGTTTCGGAAAACAGTTTCTTTGCAGGACTTTGAAGGTGCTTTGTTTTAGCAAATATATATTCTATATCAGTAGGCATGAGAACTTATGACATCAATTGTGGGACAGACAACCTTCACTAGCCTTAATGTTCTGAAACACTTGATTCTTGCTCTGTTTTATTTCTAAGGTTGTATCTGTTAAAATAACTCTAACACAACTACTTTAAATGTGTGTACATTTAGAATCATAGAATTGTCTGGGTTGGAAGGGACCTTAAAGATCAGCTAGCCCCACCAGCAACCTAACTCTGACCAAAAAAAAAACCCTATCACTAAACCATGTCACTAAGCACTATGCCAACCCATCTTTTCAATACTTCCAGGGATGGTGCCTCAACTGCTTCCCTGGGCAGCCCATTCCAATGCTTAATAACCTTTTCAGTGTCAAAACTTTTCCTTGTATCCAATCTGAACCTCCCCTGGCACAACTTGACACCATTTCCTCTTGTCCTATCGCCTGTGACTTGGAAGGAGAGACCAACCCCTGCCTCTACACCCTCCTTTCAGGGGGTTGGAGAGAGCGAGAAGGTCTCCCTTCAGCCTCCTTTTCTCCAGGCTGAGGACACCCCAACTCCCCTGTCACAGAAGAATTTATTATAACCAACCATTACAGAATTCAGACTGTGGAGATTTAAATGTATATAGACAAAACTTTTCCTTGTATCCAATCTGAACCTCCCCTGGCACAACTTGACACCATTTCCTCTTGTCCTATCGCCTGTGACTTGGAAGGAGAGACCAACCCCTGCCTCTACACCCTCCTTTCAGGGGGTTGGAGAGAGCGAGAAGGTCTCCCTTCAGCCTCCTTTTCTCCAGGCTGAGGACACCCCAACTCCCCTGTCACAGAAGAATTTATTATAACCAACCATTACAGAATTCAGACTGTGGAGATTTAAATGTATATAGACAGGTTTGCTTTATACATGACTACTTCTTAATGTTGTTTGCTTTTTGAGCTTCTCTGCCTTGAACAGATGCAAACAGGTTCTAAAGCTCGTTTGTTTTCTTACAGCAAGTTGGAATTGACAGAGGAGACATTCCAGATCTCTCACAGGTAGATAAACCTATTCTGTGTTTGCCAGTACACGTCTGGTTTGGGGTTGTGTAATTAGAAAATCTTGGCATTATGGCACGCACTTATGCTTTATTGAGTACCTTGTCACCATGTTATTACCAAGTTTTGTGATTAAATCCAACCTCTGTCAGAGCCTGGCTTTTATATGCAGTGATCCTATTGTCAAATAGTATAGTTTGTTTCTGTCTTACTCTAATTGAGTTTTAAGACAACCTGATTTCCGTCATGATAGAAGACAAAGTTTGTATCTGTGAGTTCACGTAACAAAACTTTTAAAATGATATTATGAAGCTGTGGTTTTTAGCAAGCTTGCTTTTGGCTCTCTGCCTGTTTAAATCATGGTGAAGGTTTGCAGAGCGTGCACGTAGAAATGACTTTAGGTACAATTTCCTTCTTAGTGTCTCCTGAAATACTGACTGCTTCCAACTGTCTGCTTGCTGTTTCCTAGCTGTTAATTTTAACATCTCTTGACATATTTCGGTACTTACCGGTGAGTCATTATGACAGAGTAATGTACATCACCTGATATTTTAAGTAATTAAATATGCGCAGGATGCCAAGATGCGGTATAAATATTCTGAGCTGTTATACCAGTTCCCCTACAGTTGTGGTCTTTGAAAGTCTTTTTAACTAACGATGTGCTTCACCTTAGATTCTTCAATCTCTTTTTGTAGGCACCAAGTAGCCTTCTTGATGCTTTGGAACAACATTTAGCTTCTCTAGAAGGGAAGAAAATCAAAGATTCCACAGCTGCAAGCAGGTGCTTATGCTCTTGTCCTTTCATACAATTGTTGAATCGAATGTTAAATCCATTATTTTCCATTTCATTATAAATTAAGGTTTATGTAGGCTCTGTTGAAGGCAAGACTGTATTATATTAGCATTGATAGAATAGCGAGTTGATAAATCATTTTCTGAGTGCTTAAGGCAGCTTCTTCCAGGTCAACAGAACTGGAATCTAAGGAGCTGTGAGCACTTGCTCCAGAATCCTTCATGTAGTAGTTACACTTCCAGCATTTGATCTTGAACTTCTGAGGAGAAACTAAGGGGGTTTTCCACTTAAAATTAACGTTTGCAGGCAGTATGTTAATAGTTAGACTTCTATAAGCTATGCACCCTTTATTAATGTACATAGACTCTTATATCTCAATTCTAGAACGTTTGCAGGCAGTATGTTAATAGACTTCTATAAGCTATGCACCCTTTATTAATGTACATAGACTCTTATATCTCAATTCTAATCCTTTTTTTGTCAAAAGCAAGAAAATGCTTCCAGAAATCCTTAAATTAAGAATGTATTTTTAAAGTAATTGGGGATTAGAACTGTACTGTATATGGTGAAAGGCAGTCGCTGATTTTAAGCACTTGCTAAAACACAAAGGGCAATCAGGAGAAGTCCTCTAGGCAACTAACTTCATTGTTTAAATTTAAAAAAGCTTAATACTGCAAAATTGAATACCATTTCTCTATTACATGTTCAAAAAAAAAAAGGCAGTAATGTTTTATATGTCTTTTTTATTGTAATGACAATATTAGGGCTTAGCACCATTTTGTTAACTACTTTTTAGAATATTTGCTGGTTTTTATAAGGTTACTTCAGGTTGCTTTAAATCTTATTGCACACTCATGATAAACACAGTGATAAATCATAAAGTTTTCCTCTGGCATTACTGGTTGCGTAGAGTTTCTTAACTAAACCTGTTAAATTAGCAACAACTTGAATTGGAGCCCAAGTGATCAAAGATTCCCATATTCCACAGATAATGCTGTTTTAGGCAAATGGGAAAAGAGCAAAGGCTTCAAATATGAATTCTGTGATGCAGATTTGGAAGGGAGACATTTAAGGGTGAAAATCCAGTGTGTAAGAGTAGATAATGTCCTTTGTAGGCATTTTCATTTTGTGGTTCATACAGTGTAATCTTATTTAAATTTATCCCTTTGTATTGCACAGTTGTAAGATACAACCGATGTTATAAAAAGTTCAGAAGGGGACTGGGTGGATACAAGTAAGGAGTTCTTTAGATCTTCCTATCACGTGTCACCTATTAACAGCCAGCTTTTCTCCTGTCCAATTACTTCAGGGCTACAACCCTTTCCAATGCAGTCTCTTCCCTTGCAAGCACTGGCCTGTCCCTCACAAAAGTTGATGAAAGGGAAAAACAAGCTGCGTTAGAGGAAGAACAGGCTCGCTTAAAAGCTTTAAAGGTAGGCATGTGGAATTTTTAATCAAAAATGCTTTTCCTACATTCTTGTTGATTGCTGAATTAAGACTTTTAAGAAGCTAAGGGAAAGAACAGTTATTAACACTGAACGTGTACTGTTGATAAAGTGCTGAGAGTAAAATTGTGCAATAAATTAAAAGAATTCTTTTAAGTTCTGCTTTACTTAACCTCCAAAGTCACGTACACAACTGTTGTTTCTGGGTTTCTTATGCCAGCTCACTTTCCCAACAGGAGCAACGTCTAAAAGAACTTGCAAAGAAACCTCATACCTCTTTAACGACCGCGGCTTCTCCTGTGTCGACTGCAGCGGGAAGCATCATGACCACACCAGCCATTGATATTTTTTCTACCCCTAGCTCTTCAAACAGGTACAGTTCATGGTGTTGCTGCACTCTTTCCTCTAAACTTCTGCTGCGCAAGGTTGGTTGGGTGTGGAGCACACTAATGATGGGATAAGAAATGGTATTTGGGGTAAATTTGGTGGAAAAAAGAACCTATTGCTATAAATAACATAAAAAGTGTGTTTTCATCACCCGTTTGCAGAATAGTTTCTGATAAGAACCAAGTGCTGACAGCCCTTGTAGCTGTTCTTAGTCAGTGAGCCAGACAGTTGGAACTGTAAAATACACATGCTTTGTTCCCAAAGAACCTTACAAATTGATTTGGGACAAGTGAAATAAAAATTCAGTTTGGGAGGTCACAAATATAATACCAAATTTAATGTCGCATTTCTAGATCTTTAAAAGTCTAGTGGTAGCTAATGGTCTCGGAAGATTTTTTCAGAAAAAGAAAAAGCCCAAAACAGGGTTTGAAAGAAGAGAAGCAGATTTTGCTGTCCTGAGTTGTATCTGTCTGCAAGGACTTGCAAAGGTAGTGCCAGAGCCCTCCCTGCACACTAATCCCAGTCTCTGACTAGCAGGAGCTGTTGCTATGAGTAAGTGTGTGATCTCCAGTCTGTAAAATACCTGTCAAATCAAGCAGGAGCAGAAGGTACAGTGCTTTTGTTAGTACAGAAGGAAATAGCTCTCTAAAGGCTTGGTTTTGCTTTGGGTGTGACCCCAAACTTGAAGGGTTGCTTAGTTGTTCTGTGAGAGCTCACAGGAGAATCTACTTGTCTCCTTCAGCTTTTTGCTGTTCTTTAAAAGCAATCAGCGCTTTGACAGCCGCCTTTCCCCATTAGACAGCTATTGTAGGAAATTACTTGGCACTGAATACGTGGAAAATAGCTGAATCACATATGAGGAGCTAGAGAATCTGTCAGTGTCAGTAACTGAAAGACTTCCTTGAGAAAAGATATATAATTTTTTTAAAAATTGCTTTTTAGAGGCCAGAATATTTGAAATGGGCGTATGCTTTGAGGTAGTAACTCTGAATATCTGATCCTGCTTCTTAAGAGGTCTGAAACATAGAAACATCTGATAAAGCTTCTTCAAACAGCCACAAACACTACACATTGAAGACAAGAGCATTTTCTTCTAAAATTGTCTTCATGTTTCGGTTCAGTTGCTGGCAGTGGGACTGCTGTGAGCAAAGAACAGATTTTACAGCAGGAGCTGCCATAAAGGGGATCACAGAATGATACGGGGTTGGAAGGGGCCTCTGGAGATCATCTAGACCAAATCAGGTCCACCTAGAGCAAGTTGCACAGGAACTTGTGCAGGTGGGTTTTGAATGTCTCCAGAGACGGAGACTCCACCACCTCCCTGGGCAGCCTGTTCCAGGGCTCTGCCACCCTCAAGGTGAAGAAGTTCCTCCTCAAGTTTAGATGGAACTTCTTATGTACAAGTTTGTGCCCATTTCCTCTTGTCCTATCCCTGGGCATCACTGAAAAAAGACTGGCCCCATCTTCTTGACACCCTCCTTTTAAGTATTTATAGGTGTTGATCAGATCCCTCCTCAGTCTTGTCTTCTCCAGAGTAAAAAGACCCAAGTCCCTCAGCCTTTTGATGTTGGGTTATAAGTTCAGTTCCTTGCTATTAGATGCAATAGGTCTGATTATGCCCTGTCATTAACGTGAACGAGCTTTACCTTGAAAATGGTCTTGGTTCTGCTGCTCACATTACAGGGCTGTGCCAGACCATGCTGCTTTTTTTTAATAGGAGGGGTGGCAGCAGAACAGGATTTCAATCACTGCTGAAATGAAATGGTCAAAACTGAATGATACAAGTGATTGGGTCAGCAACAGAATCCACAGGGATTTAGGATGTGGCTACTAGTGTTTAAAGTTCTGTGCCATTCTCATTTTGAAAGGTGCTTGGATGCCATAGTGACTTAGCTTCTGTCCATAGCAGTGGCTCTACATGCAAATTTTGGTTCATCTCATCTGCTAAAACATTCTGGGTGAACACCAGCAGTTCATTTTTTTTCTTTTCAGGACTAATTTAAAATATAAAATGAAGTCTCTGCAGGAGGATGAATTTTCCTGTTCCCATTTGACTCTGAAATTATTGCAGTGATTGTATTCGAGACTTCACTCTTCATTTCCATGTGATGTTCTTAGGTCTCAATTTGACTTTGAATAGTCTAAAATGAGTTTTCACATGGCTGATATATGATAAAGTGTTTCAAGGTTTCTTGTATTTTGCTTTCCACCAAGTTCTTCTGTAGCTCATAGCTGTTAGCCAGTTTCTCAGCGGTGGTCAACAGTGGAAGGATAGGAGTTGTGGAATTTAGATGTAACATTTTGGTGGTGCAACCCATTGGAATTCATTCTGTCAGTCTCCTTTTGTCATTCTGTAGGGCTTCCATGGGGTTATTTTAAAAGCTGCTGAAGATTGCAGAGCTGAATGTGCTCTAGACCTGGTGTTGGACCATGAGGAGGATGAGACAGCTGGCTGGCTTTCTGTCTTAGACAGCTCTGACAAAAGTCACTTGACATAACGCAGAACTTAGCTCACTAGATTAACACTTTTCTACAGAACTGAAAATGAGAAGTTCACCAGGCTCATTTTTGACTTAGTTCTATACATTTTTATAACAAAGCTTTCCTTGACAGTCACTAACGGTTGCCTTGTGTTGAAAATTGTGATGTGGTTTGAACAATTGTATTCATTTGTCTTTGTAGCACTTCAAAGCTGCCAAATGATCTGCTTGATCTGCAGCCAACTTTCCATCCATCTGTACATCCTATATCGGCTCCTCCACAAGTAGGAAGTACCTGGGGAGGTAAGAATTCAAGACAAGAGCATTTTCTTCTAAAATTGTCTTCATGTTTCGGTTCAGTTGCTGGCAGTGGGACTGCTGTGAGCAAAGAACAGATTTTACAGCAGGAGCTGCCATAAAGGGGATCACAGAATGATACGGGGTTGGAAGGGGCCTCTGGAGATCATCTAGACCAAATCAGGTCCACCTAGAGCAAGTTGCACAGGAACTTGTGCAGGTGGGTTTTGAATGTCTCCAGAGACGGAGACTCCACCACCTCCCTGGGCAGCCTGTTCCAGGGCTCTGCCACCCTCAAGGTGAAGAAGTTCCTCCTCAAGTTTAGATGGAACTTCTTATGTACAAGTTTGTGCCCATTTCCTCTTGTCCTATCCCTGGGCATCACTGAAAAAAGACTGGCCCCATCTTCTTGACACCCTCCTTTTAAGTATTTATAGGTGTTGATCAGATTCCCCCTCAGTCTTGTCTTCTCCAGAGTAAAAAGACCCAAGTCCCTCAGCCTTTTGATGTTGAGTTATAAGTTCAGTTCCTTGCTATTAGATGCAATAGGTCTGATTATGCCCTGTCATTAACATGAACGAGCTTTACCTTGAAAATGGTCTTGGTTCTGCTGCTCACGTTACAGGGCTGTGTCAGACCACGCTGCTTTTTTTTATAGGAGAGGTGGCAGCAGAACAGGATTTCAATCACCACTGAAATGAAATGGTCAAAAGTGATTGGGTCGGCAACAGAATCCACAGGGATCTAGGATGTGGCTACTAGTGTTTAAAGTTCTGTGCCATTCTCATTTTGAAAGATGCTTGGATGCCATAATGACGTAACTTCTGTCCATAGCAGTGGCTCTACATGCAAATTTTGGTTCATCTCATCTGCTAAAACATTCTGGGTGAACACCAGCAGTTCATTTTTTTCTTTTCAGGACTAATTTAAAATATAAAATGAAGTCTCTGCAGGAGGATGAATTTTCCTGTTCCCATTTGACTCTGAAATTATTGCAGTGATTGTATTCGAGACTTCACTCTTCATTTCCATGTGATGTTCTTAGGTCTCAATTTGACTTTGAATAGTCTAAAATGAGTTTTCACATGGCTGATATATGATAAAGTGTTTCAAGGTTTCTTGTATTTTGCTTTCCACCAAGTTCTTCCCTAGCTCATAGCTGTTAGCCAGTTTCTCAGCGGTGGTCAACAGTGGAAGGATAGGAGTTGTGGAATTTAGATGTAACATTTTGGTGGTGCAACCCCTTGGAATTCATTCTGTCAGTCTCCTTTTGTCATTCTGTAGGGCTTCCGTGGGGTTATTTTAAAAGCTGCTGAAGATTGCAGAGCTGAATGTGCTCTAGACCTGGTGTTGGACCGTGAGGAGGATGAGACAGCTGGCTGGCTTTCTGTCTTAGACAGCTCTGACAAAAGTCACGTGGCATAATGCAGAACTTAGCTCACTAAATTAACACTTTTCTACAGAACTGAAAATGAGAAGTTCACCAGGCTCATTTTTGACTTAGTTCTATCCATTTTTATAACAAAGCTTTCCTTACTGTTGACAGTCGCTAACGGTTGCCTTGTATTGAAAATTGTGATGTGGTTTGAACAATTGTATTCATTTGTCTTTGTAGCACTTCAAAGCTGCCAAATGATCTGCTTGATTTGCAGCCAACTTTCCATCAATCTGTACATCCTATATCGGCTCCTCCACAAGTAGGAAGTACCTGGGGAGGTAAGAATTCAAAATCGGATTAAGGTTCTAATTGCTGTGGCCACGGTCCTGGAAATGTGTCCCTCAATCTGTGGGGTTTCTCTTCCTTCAAACCTTGCAAAGACAAGCTACAAGTAGATGAAGGGAGCAGGAAATGTCAAATCTGGGTATGGATTAAAATAATGTAGCAGCAGATGGTGATGACAAAGAATTTGGATATTTTGATAAAGTTACTTCAATTGTTGACCAGCTCTGTCAGCCTCAGTTGCCGTCTTCAAGAGTCCCATAGCAAGTGACAAAGTCAGTTCTGTGAGGGTGTCTGCCAGACAGCCCGTGTTGTGTACACGGGAACTCGGATACAGAATTGTTTTAAATACATCAGTCAAAATTTAAAGTGTTAAATAAAATTTGCGGGTGATAATAGAGCAGGACGTGGATGAGGCCTGCAAGGAGGCCGTTGTGACAATGATGCATAGGAAGCAAGAAAATCCAGAGTTAGTTATTAGAAATAAAATAAGGCACCTCTCTACAAACTCTCTATTACCTTACCTACAGAGGCACATTAGGAAGAAGCTGTGGTTGGATCTCTAAATGAAGAGACAAAATTTAGAAGGAACTTTTCCCTATGAAATGTAGTTCAGAACATCCAAATCACCCTTCTACCCAGCTGCTGGGGTGGATGGAGTGAGGTGTTAGATTATTTTATTGATACAGGCGAGTCCTTAAACCCAGGAGGTGAGCGAGGGCGTTGTAGACAGTCCTGAATGTTGTGATTCAGGATTAGTGTGAGTGTTAGAGCATGTGCTGCTGTGCAGTGTTCCAGAAGACTTCTCATACGGGTAACACTGCCTGCTTGCACTGCTGGTTATGCTGGTGGAGGATTAAAAATCTCTGCTAAAGAGGTTTCCTTTTTATTTTTCTAAATATAGGACCCTTAATAAAATAGTAAACCCCTGAACTATGTGGCTATTTCCAGATTATTATGTTTTCTTTTACGATGTGAAAATTTGGGACTTGCTGCTTCAGAAAGTTTTGTAGGCATTGGAGTAACCCTCTTCTGAAATTTTACTTCACTATTTCTTTTTATGAGCTGTAGTTTTTCCTAAACATCTTTCCAGTTATCTCACATGTCTTTGTAAGAAGCGGTGCATGTATTCTACTTTTCCTTTTTCCTTTTTGCTGTGTGCTTTGTGTGTTGTGTACCTTCTCACCCTTGTTCGTAGGGAAATAGCACATGGTTTTGAGTGACGGAAGGCGTTACTAATAAATGTGGTAGCTTCAAAACCTAATAAAAGTAGTTTATTTGTCCTGTAGTTTTGCTGAGCAGAGCATCTTTTGAGAAGGATGCAGCGAGGAGCAGATGGAGTCATGCATACAAATGTCAATGTTCAATAGGCTTAGAGTTTAGAAATGGAGAAAAATGTTTTGGCTTGTTTGCTTTCTGGAAAATATCTTCCGTTTCATCTTGCCCTGTTTGTTTCATGGGTGAGAGATAGAAGGGGAAATTATCTTCCTCTCAAAGGTCACTTCACAATCTAGCATTGCTGTATTAATCTGAAAATTGAGCCTGAAAGTCTGTTTGTGTTTGTTCAATGTTGTGTTACTCATGGTAAGAGCCTTCAGTGATAGTCATTGATACATCTGCTTACTAAACACTTCTACAACTTAATTAACTGTGAAGATTTTGGACTGTCTGCTAAAAGTTTAGGCTAAAATTATGGGATCACCATTTTTCTTGTTACCTTTTATCCAAAAAAAACCCAAACAATCCTCTTTAGCTTTACAGATGTGAACACCCACTTCCCATAGGCGAGGTAGATAAGTGCTTTCCACATTTTACAGATTGGGAAATCTGAGCAATTAATTGACTTGTCCCAAGTCATACGGTGAGTCAGTGGCAGAGCCAAGAGTGGCACCTGAGCTATTTCCAGTCCTGTGCTCTAATCACTGCACAGCATCCCTCCTGGAGGTAATTTTCTGATGTGCTAATGTCTGTATTTGGTGATTATGGTGACTTCAAGAAAGGTATGGAACCAGCTACAAGTTGCAATGGACTAAACCAAGTTGCTGTTCAAAATATTATGCAGCAACTCTTAACCATTTATCCTTTTGTTACATACTTATCAAGGCATTATATTTGGGTTCCTGCCTTCTGTCTTGCACTTTATAAAAAAAAGTTAGAGCTAACGAGGTTAAAAACTCCTGGAGGATGGGTTCTGTAATTGCATGTTTTCACTTTTTCAAACTATCAGAGATGGCAACAAAAAACCTGTCGTTGTTCTCTCAGGTGAAATACTTCTAGCTGGATAACTTCAAGGTAGAAGTTTGCAAAATGCAAATTACTCTTTTAAATGCAGCTGAATCATTAATGCCTAATGATAGCCTGAAGGTGCAGAGTGATTCCTTTGACACGAAGAGATGCCATGTGTATCTGAGAATGAAACTGGGCTTTAGAAATGTCGAGGTGTTGCTGTCAGGAGAGACAGCAGTTTTTAAAATCTGAATATGCAAGGGTATAAATTGCCCAAACCCAATTAATTCGTAGTTACCTTTGTCACTAGCTTTTGGCAAGTTTTGAGACTCGGACAGGATTGAACACATGGGAGAGAATTAAAATGAGGCAGACAAGCGAAGAGTCTGAGACCAGATTACATTTCTAAGAAAATCTTGATAACGTAAATTGTATTGCATTGTTTTACTGGTCAAAACACATAAAACTCTATAGATGAGCTTGGGATTTGGAACCAAAAAGTTGTATGTAGTATTTTTCCTGCTGAGTGTGTGTATAAGATAATTCCAGTGGATAGTAGTTTCAAACAAATATGGTTTAAAAACTTCCTGTCTTTTTTTCTTTCATGTTGTTTTATCTGACCTGTTCATTGGGATTGTCCGGAGACCATCCCAGCTGTGTTTGGTGGATTTGCCAACTCTCAATTTGTACCTATGCTTCAGAAGCAAAACAAATGGATCAGTTTGAGTTATCTGTTTGGATTTTTTTCTAATTGCAAGCAGAACCAATAGAGTCAGAAGAAGGTGAAGCGGCAATAGAAAAAGCAAACAGGAGCTGATTAAAGGATGATCTGACCTATTCTCTTGTCAGATGTTTGTTCTGCAGCTCTTAGGGCAGAATTCAAAGCAGACAACAGTTCTGAGCAGTACCTGAAAGGAAGGACTCTGTTTCAGGTGACACTGATTGGCATGTCCACGAGTGCATTAGGTGGTAATATTATTATCTAAAACAGACAAGAGACAATATAAAGTTTTCTTAATATATTACAAATACTGTATCAGCTTATTCTGCTTATGCTTTATTCAGGGTTTGACACTGTCATTTTGCTGACTGAACGATTTAGAAAAAAAGGCTTTTTAAGGTACTTAACTCATTCTTGCAACTCAGCCAAACAATTTGGGAGAGAAGTCAGGTCTTGCTGAATAAGATATCTTGAGCTTGCAGAAAATGAAAGGATTTATTAAGCCTGCAAAGAATAATGCATTATTCTTTTCATTTAAAATTTCATTTTCTTTAGAACTTGTGTATGATTGAAATCTACACGTTATCAAGCTGTGTGGGATTTGTAGCTAAGAATCAGGAGGTCAGATTTGGGGAGAGAAAGTAACTTACAGTTTGAAGGTGCTGCACGCATCATGGTGGTATTTACAAGAGTTGTGGATAAATCTAGAATGTAACCAAGTTTAAAAAAAGGCCAGAAACTGAAATAGTGAAGAAATCTCTCCTAGAATTGTTATTTGGACATTTCTCTGTAGTAGGTTTGCCTGGAAGAGTATGTTGCAGTTCTAGGTGCTGTGATAAATCAGGACTGGATGTGACTCTTGCTGATCTCATGAGCGAGTTCTTGAGTTCTCCATCAAGGATTTGTGTGTTTGAAGCCAGGCAGCTAAACCTCAGCTCCCTCAGTCAACAGGTAGTGTAGCTGCCTTTCCTCTCCTCTTCAGCTGTTGGATCTTGGAGCTCAGGAATATTTTAGCTTGGCAATTGTATCCATCCTTGAGATCTCCTCTGTGCCTTGAGAAGCGACCCACATAGATCCAGGTTTCCTCCATTGGTCATTGTGATCTGACAGGTTTTTTAATAAGGAACGTTTTCTGATTGTCCCTCAAAGCAGAGAAGGTTTTTGCTTGCTTGCAGCTAACGGCATATCCATAACAAGCTTGTTGCTCCTGATGCCCCAGGTATTAAGGAAAGTGCTTTTATTCCATGTGCTACCTTGGTGTATTCACAGCTCTTGAAAATTTTATGATGCACAGTAACAGAAAAAAAATATCCATAAACACAGTTTGAAGAAGAAGGAACAGCACAGCTCCGTTGGTTTTGTTTTAAAGCTGTCCTTCAGGTGGTTCTGCATGGAATCCTTGTTGGCACCAGGGGTTCTGCTACACCAAGAGGTCCTCTCTGCTCCAGAGAATTTGTTGCAGGTGTCAGGACAGGACTGAGTGAAGCAAAAAGTAATTGTGTTAAAAGAGAAATAACATACGAACTTTCAGTATAAAACACACTGTGGAAGAAGCACACTTTACCAAGATGGTATTAATTTTAAAAGAAAAAAAAAGGTAAATGTGTAGCTAATATCTGTAGTATTTCTCTTGAGCAGAGAACAGATAATTCTGGAGAATTTGAGAATTAAGCAATTTGCTAGATCATCCCAAGTTTAGAGATGTCAGGAGAAAACTATACTTCCTGGACTCCTCTTAACTCTTAACTCTCCTGTACCTAGGAAGCAGTGTGTAACTAAACCCATCTCCCTTTTCTTCTTTCTCTTGCTCTCTGGAACTGAACAGATCCTTTTTCTGCTACTGTTGATAGTGTTGATGATGCCATTCCAAACCTAAATCCTTTCCTTACAAAAACTAACGATGCTGCTCATCTGTCTGTGTCTTCTGATGTATCTACTTTCACCAGTAGGACACCCACACATGAAATGTTTGTTGGTAAAGTACCATTTTAAACTAATTTCCTGTTTCCTAAAAATTTTAACATTATTTTAGTTTTTAAAGTATATTTGTTGGGCCTTTCATTAACTAAAAGCTGGTCATTTGGGGCTCATGTAGTGCTATGTTAGAACTTGATTTAGTAATTGTGCCATGAAAATGGTGTTAAAGTCCTTGCTTAGCTACTGGTTGGGATTCTACCTGATGTAAAAGGACTTAGTTATAGTTAAAGCAGTTGTTTGAGTGTAATTTTACACCAAGTCTCCTGTGCTTAGGAATTTTAAGGCAAAATACTATGTGTACCTGAGAATGAAAAGAAAATGCTCCTACTTTGTACCTCAGGTTGAAATGTTCTTTTTGAATGTAGGAGGTTAATCTAATTTTTTTGGTAGTGGGTGTTTTTCCCCCAGTCACGTTGACACTAACAAAACTGGTAAAGCTGTATGCTTTCTCAAAATGTTTACCTACTGGGCAATTAACTAACGACTCGGCTTTTTAAAACTGATGAAATCTTCCTTTTTGAAGATTGATTCAGCATGGCTGTCACGTTAGAAATGCTTCTAACGTTTATGTTGGCACAGCTACATATTAATTTGATTACTTTTCAATATGAAGAATGAAGTTAGCTTTCATAGACTAAAAATCAATTAATGATGTGTCAGTTCTGTTCTTAGGGGAAGCTAGGCTTAAAGACAACAGGTCGGCCTTTTTGCTGGTTGAACCCCACTAGAACTGATCACAAATGATTCGAGTCTCATGCCAAAGTGATATTTCATATCTCTGATACTTGTTAACAGACAGAAAACAAAGAGGTCTCTTTAAAGATATTCATACCACCTGCACTGTGTCATAGAATCATAGAATGGTTTGGGTTGGAAGGGACCTTTAAAGTCATCTCATTCCAACCCCCCTGCCATGGGCAGGGACACCTCCCACTAGAGCAGGTTCCTCAAAGCCCCATCCATCACATCACCATAATGAACTGGATTATTAGCTTGTTTTTTTGCTATTGGAGAGAGAAAGCAAGGCGAGATCTTCAAGCACAAGAACTCCTGCTGTGAACTTCTCTCCACAATTCCAGGCAGTAGTAGACAACTCCTTCAAGCTGCATAATAATCTGGCCAATGCTTCCAATAGATCTTTCCCCCACTTCCAATAACATTTGTATGGCTGCATGTGAATGTACAATGATTATTTTGGGTACAGCTTTTTTTTAAGTTGGGTTGTCATTTGTTCTGCAGTCATACAAAAAGTTGTGGCAGCGCAGGGCTGGGAACAAGGACCTTGGTGGGCTTTTGTGGCTCTCACTGGTTTGTGTGGTATCATCCCACAACACCTTTGAAGGCACCGGAGGTGGATGGCATCGATGCGTTGCCTTCCCTTCCAGTGTCTCATTCTCTAAAGGTATAGCTAGGACCACGGTGTGACCTCCCAACAGATTGATATGTGACATGTAAATGCAGCTGTAGTACAAACAAGGTGCTACAATTACGTGAATGTGGGTTTTAAATAACTATTTCTGGTTCTTTAGATCATTACAATCGATTTACTGAACTAAATCCCTTTGTGGCAATCAAATGTGAATCCACTATTGGGCTGTGTCCTTATGCTTCAGGTATAAGAAAAATGCCCTGAAGCTTTTACACTCATTTCTTCAAGAGTGTAAAACATGGCATTTGGTTTAAAAAAATAATATATTTTTTTTTCCTAGTATAGCTGTAAGTTTGAAACTGTGCTTTCCCCTTTTGTGTTAGTGATAATGTAAACTTGTTTCTTACTGTATGTCTGATGTGTATTGACTTCATTCCATTGGTTCTGTGTTATTAGAGTGTATGTGGATGTATAGAGTGACCTGAAACTAAATTTTTGAATAGCAGATAAACGGTGTATCTTGGTTCTCTTTCTGTAACTCTCCCTCTTCTCCTTTCCTGGCTTTCTCTCTCGTGTGATATGCCTGATCAGATTCTTTTTGTGGTCCTCAAGCTTACCCTAATGCTTCTCATTTCCGCAATGAGCCTTCTTCTGTAGCTGGTCTATTTGGAGGTAGGTAATGGGAATCAGCCTTACCACAAACACAGCAATACAATGTCTCGTGTGCCTAGAACCAGTAGGTGTGTTACTTGCTACAGAAATGCATTATTATAGCGGCTCCAACTCTTATTCATGTGCTTGTGCTAGGTGTGTTGTCACAAACAGTATGTATTTTTTCAGTTTGTGCTAAACTAAGGCTTATTTAGCCTAAACGTGAAATGAGTATCTCCCCATTTCAGGATCTCTTGTGGTTTACATGCTGCTACATCCACGCAAAAGACTTGCATGTCATGAGTATCTTCACATCTTACTCTCCTTCATTGCTTTTCAAATCAAGGGATTGGGATGTTCTTGCTGCTTATGGCATTTTTGTTTATATATTACTCTTAAACAGTGCACTGAACTAGTACAAAGCTTTGTGACAGAACATGAGAAAGAGGTATCCCCATGAGAAGGAAGTATCCCCTGCATCAAATTGCTGGCTAATCATTTGTGCATCTGTCTAGTAACCCCATACCAGTACTGGTATCCAATTCTGACAGTTGCTAGATGGGCTGTGGACCATGACAGTTGATAATCTGTCTAAACCAGGTTGAACAGAGTGTTGTTCCTGTGCAAGGCTTAGGAATACTTTTAATGAAGTAAAGCGTCCAGCTTTGGAGTCCTCAGCACAAGAAGGACATGGACCTGTTGGAATGAATCCTGTGGAGGGCCATGAAGATCACCAGAGGCCTGGGGGACCTCACCTGTGAAGACAGGCTGAGAGAGTTGGGGTTGTTCAGCCTGGAGAAGAGAAGGCTCAGGGGAGACCTTATCATGTCATTCCAGCACCTAAAGGGGACCTACACAAGAGATGGGGAAGGATTCTTTATCAGGGAGTGTAGTGATAGGACGTGGGGTAATGGTTTTAAACTGGAAGAGGGGAGATTTAGAAGAGGTATCAGGAAGAAATTATTTCCTATGAGGGTGGTGAGACACTGGAACAGGTTGCCCAGAGAAGCTGTGGATGCCCCATCCCTGGAGGTGTTCATGGTCGGGCTGGAGGGGGCTTTGAGCAACCTGGTCTGGTGGGAGGTGTCCCTGCCCATGGCAGGGGGGTTGGAACTCAGTGATCTTTCAGGTCCCTTCCAACCCAAACCATCCTATGATGCTGTGATAAATGGCTTGTGAACGAGTTAGTTCTTAAAAGCACCATAAAGTCACATTGTGGCTTAGTGTCTTCGAATAGAAATTAACTAGAGTTATCTAACCAAAGGTTAAATGTTATGTATGATTCCATATCCAAAAGCACAATGTTTAGTTTCTGTCAAGTCTTGTTGGTTTATTTTCTTGAAGGAGCTCCATTAAAAATGACCTTTGCACCTTTCAAAACACCCCATGAGACACGGTGCCCTGGGCTGGTGGCTGATACCAGCTGTAGGAGTTGGTCTTTTCCAGAGGTTGACCCAAAGAAGTCTTATCTATTATGTTGTCTTCTGGCTCATCTCATCTCGTTAGCTTCACAGCGCTTGAAACTTCTGAAAACGTGAGAGCAGGAAACTCAGCTTGTTTCAGTTGAGGCCATTTTCTAAAGGAGAAGATGAGCTGTCGTAAGTCAAGTTTTCTGTTGGTACAGGCACAGCTTTAAGAGTTGCAGGACATCCCATCACTGGAGCTCCCATCCGCAGTGCAGAGTCTCTGAAATGGCTTGGTACAACCTGATGGTGTATTTGTCATAAAGATACTCATTTTGTTCCCTCGTTTAGTTACTCCCTACTTTTCCCCACATTAACTGCTGCTCATGCCTTGCTGTATGCTCTTTCCTTGCTTTTGTTTTTAATGAAATGTACGTTGTTTAAATTCTTAGAGATGGCTGCTTTTGAGTTATATGTTCCATTACGACAAATAGGAAGGAACAGGTAATCCAAATTTAGTTTTTCTGTCAAGTTTACATTCAAGGATAACATCCTATAGCTATTGATTTTCTGGGTGAAGTGTAACTTATTTCAGGTAAACCTTAAGGTTGAAATGAGGTGCTGTCACAACAAGGTAAACGAAACCCAAGAGGTCTTCTCGGTCAGTTATTTCTGCTCACTGCAATGTTTGACTGCTGAAGTATTTGTGATGCTTTTATTTCTCCACAGCATCAGCATTTATGCTAGAAAGCAGAAGAGCTAGTTCTGAAGATGGCATTATTTTTTTGGGGTGCTTTTCATATAAGGGAATAATGACTTGTGTAACTGCCTGACTATCACGATGCTGTACGTGCACACACGTGTGCATGACTGATGTGTGATTATATGTAACATTAAAAAAATATTATTTTGGAAACAAATCAATATTCACTTCCACATTACTGAACCATCAACTTCATACTTCCTAAAATCATAAGCAATGCTTTATACTGCCATAAATTTTTGAAGTATTGAAAAAAACGGTGTATTTGGGGAACTCATATAAGCAGATGTCATCTGCTTTACAGATGCGGGGGGGAGGAGACAAATGGAGTAAGGTCAGACAGGAATGGGAATTAAAACTTGGCTTTAACTCCCCGTACCTTGCCATAATTATTAGAAACTTAACTGCAAAGCATGTCCAAAAATAACAAAGTAAACATTATAAAAACTATTAGTACTACAAATGTCTAATCAGAGGCATTATGGCTCATCTTGGGACCATACAGATCTTGCTCCAGTTGTACGTGGGAGCTGCTCCACTGATAGAAACCGTGGAGGGAATAACCTTCAGGCAGGTCATCTTGAAGCAGAGTCTGTACCCAGCCACTTGCTTTCCCTGGGGAAGTAGGTGGTTACTTCTTCAATAAATTTATTGTAGTTATTTGGTAAAAGGCTAAGGATGATGTGAATAATCAGTCCAGAGATTTAGCAACTGAGGGGCAGAGTGGAGGCTTTTATGGCCCATCTGCCCAGTTTTTGAGACAAAACCTTTTTTTGGAGGAGTAACTCTAAATAAGCTTCAAATAAATTGCTTCCAGTTCTTTCTTTGACGCGCTTCTCGGCGTCAGGGTATAATCTGAACTTTTGAGGTATTCTTAGTCTTTCTGCGATACTTCAGTAATCTTCATGTTTATTTGACTTGTCTTGCATAAAGAAGGTGGATTCATGGGAAACGTTTCATAAAAACATTCAACTTCTGTCTTTTTTTTTTTTTCCCCACAGGGTTCACTCCATCTCCTGTTGCTCAACCACAGCCATCAGCTGGCCTTAATGTTGACTTTGAGTCTGTGTTTGGAAACAAATCTTCTAATGTTGTCCTAGATTCTGGTGGTAAGACACTTGCTAAAATAGATGATCTATGTCCTGGAACTTTTTGTTATTTTTGAGGTATAAATCTCTTAATCTGTATTTACTGACACTGCTGGGACAGTGTTCCAGCCGAAGGAGGGAAAGAGGACTTTAAAAGGCCAGTAGCAGAATCTCTTCATCCAGTTTTTCTTTGATAATCAAGTAATTTTCCCTTACATGCTATTTCCACGTGCCCCCTGCTGAAATGTTTACGTTGATTTCCTTCACTGATTTTTTTTTTTGCATTAAACCTTCACACAGCAAAAATATCTTTATTTTTACATGCTGTCAAGTGAAATGAAGCCTGTATTTGTTGAGCGTGGTCAGAAGTTTTTTCTTTTCAGGACTAATTTAAAATATAAAATGAAGTCTCTGCAGGAGGATGAATTTTCCTGTTCCCATTTGACTCTGAAATTATTGCAGTGATTGTATTCGAGACTTCACTCTTCATTTCCATGTGATGTTCTTAGGTCTCAATTTGACTTTGAATAGTCTAAAATGAGTTTTCACATGGCTGATATATGATAAAGTGTTTCAAGGTTTCTTGTATTTTGCTTTCCACCAAGTTCTTCTGTAGCTCATAGCTGTTAGCCAGTTTCTCAGCGGTGGTCAACAGTGGAAGGATAGGAGTTGTGGAATTTAGATGTAACATTTTGGTGGTGCAACCCATTGGAATTCATTCTGTCAGTCTCCTTTTGTCATTCTGTAGGGCTTCCATGGGGTTATTTTAAAAGCTGCTGAAGATTGCAGAGCTGAATGTGCTCTAGACCTGGTGTTGGACCATGAGGAGGATGAGACAGCTGGCTGGCTTTCTGTCTTAGACAGCTCTGACAAAAGTCACTTGACATAACGCAGAACTTAGCTCACTAGATTAACACTTTTCTACAGAACTGAAAATGAGAAGTTCACCAGGCTCATTTTTGACTTAGTTCTATACATTTTTATAACAAAGCTTTCCTTGACAGTCACTAACGGTTGCCTTGTGTTGAAAATTGTGATGTGGTTTGAACAATTGTATTCATTTGTCTTTGTAGCACTTCAAAGCTGCCAAATGATCTGCTTGATCTGCAGCCAACTTTCCATCCATCTGTACATCCTATATCGGCTCCTCCACAAGTAGGAAGTACCTGGGGAGGTAAGAATTCAAAATCGGATTAAGGTTCTAATTGCTGTGGCCACGGTCCTGGAAATGTGTCCCTCAATCTGTGGGGTTTCTCTTCCTTCAAACCTTGCAAAGACAAGCTACAAGTAGATGAAGGGAGCAGGAAATGTCAAATCTGGGTATGGATTAAAATAATGTAGCAGCAGATGGTGATGACAAAGAATTTGGATATTTTGATAAAGTTACTTCAATTGTTGACCAGCTCTGTCAGCCTCAGTTGCCGTCTTCAAGAGTCCCATAGCAAGTGACAAAGTCAGTTCTGTGAGGGTGTCTGCCAGACAGCCCGTGTTGTGTACACGGGAACTCGGATACAGAATTGTTTTAAATACATCAGTCAAAATTTAAAGTGTTAAATAAAATTTGCGGGTGATAATAGAGCAGGACGTGGATGAGGCCTGCAAGGAGGCCGTTGTGACAATGATGCATAGGAAGCAAGAAAATCCAGAGTTAGTTATTAGAAATAAAATAAGGCACCTCTCTACAAACTCTCTATTACCTTACCTACAGAGGCACATTAGGAAGAAGCTGTGGTTGGATCTCTAAATGAAGAGACAAAATTTAGAAGGAACTTTTCCCTATGAAATGTAGTTCAGAACATCCAAATCACCCTTCTACCCAGCTGCTGGGGTGGATGGAGTGAGGTGTTAGATTATTTTATTGATACAGGCGAGTCCTTAAACCCAGGAGGTGAGCGAGGGCGTTGTAGACAGTCCTGAATGTTGTGATTCAGGATTAGTGTGAGTGTTAGAGCATGTGCTGCTGTGCAGTGTTCCAGAAGACTTCTCATACGGGTAACACTGCCTGCTTGCACTGCTGGTTATGCTGGTGGAGGATTAAAAATCTCTGCTAAAGAGGTTTCCTTTTTATTTTTCTAAATATAGGACCCTTAATAAAATAGTAAACCCCTGAACTATGTGGCTATTTCCAGATTATTATGTTTTCTTTTACGATGTGAAAATTTGGGACTTGCTGCTTCAGAAAGTTTTGTAGGCATTGGAGTAACCCTCTTCTGAAATTTTACTTCACTATTTCTTTTTATGAGCTGTAGTTTTTCCTAAACATCTTTCCAGTTATCTCACATGTCTTTGTAAGAAGCGGTGCATGTATTCTACTTTTCCTTTTTCCTTTTTGCTGTGTGCTTTGTGTGTTGTGTACCTTCTCACCCTTGTTCGTAGGGAAATAGCACATGGTTTTGAGTGACGGAAGGCGTTACTAATAAATGTGGTAGCTTCAAAACCTAATAAAAGTAGTTTATTTGTCCTGTAGTTTTGCTGAGCAGAGCATCTTTTGAGAAGGATGCAGCGAGGAGCAGATGGAGTCATGCATACAAATGTCAATGTTCAATAGGCTTAGAGTTTAGAAATGGAGAAAAATGTTTTGGCTCATCTTGTTTGCTTTCTGGAAAATATCTTCCGTTTCATCTTGCCCTGTTTGTTTCATGGGTGAGAGATAGAAGGGGAAATTATCTTCCTCTCAAAGGTCACTTCACAATCTAGCATTGCTGTATTAATCTGAAAATTGAGCCTGAAAGTCTGTTTGTGTTTGTTCAATGTTGTGTTACTCATGGTAAGAGCCTTCAGTGATAGTCATTGATACATCTGCTTACTAAACACTTCTACAACTTAATTAACTGTGAAGATTTTGGACTGTCTGCTAAAAGTTTAGGCTAAAATTATGGGATCACCATTTTTCTTGTTACCTTTTATCCAAAAAAAACCCAAACAATCCTCTTTAGCTTTACAGATGTGAACACCCACTTCCCATAGGCGAGGTAGATAAGTGCTTTCCACATTTTACAGATTGGGAAATCTGAGCAATTAATTGACTTGTCCCAAGTCATACGGTGAGTCAGTGGCAGAGCCAAGAGTGGCACCTGAGCTATTTCCAGTCCTGTGCTCTAATCACTGCACAGCATCCCTCCTGGAGGTAATTTTCTGACCTGCTGATGTCTGTATTTGGTGATTATGGTGACTTCGAGAAGGGTATGGAACCAGCTACAAGTTACAATGGACTAAACCAAGTTGCTGTTCAAAATATTATGCAGCAACCCTTAAGTATGTAACAAAAGGATAAATTGTTATCAAGGCATTATATTTGGGTTCCTGCCTTCTGTCTTGCACTTTAAAAAAAAAAAAAAGTTAGAGCTAACGAGGTTAAAAACTCCTGGAGGATGGGTTCTGTAATTGCATGTTTTCACTTTTTCAAACTATCAGAGATGGCAACAAAAAACCTGTCGTTGTTCTCTCAGGTGAAATACTTCTAGCTGGATATCTTCAAGGTAGAAGTTTGCAAAATGCAAATTACTCTTTTAAATGCAGCTGAATCATTAATGCCTAATGATAGCCTGAAGGTGCAGAGTGATTCCTTTGACACGAAGAGATGCCATGTGTATCTGAGAATGAAACTGGGCTTTAGAAATGTCGAGGTGTTGCTGTCAGGAGAGACAGCAGTTTTTAAAATCTGAATATGCAAGGGTATAAATTGCCCAAACCCAATTAATTCGTAGTTACCTTTGTCACTAGCTTTTGGCAAGTTTTGAGACTCGGACAGGATTGAACACATGGGAGAGAATTAAAATGAGGCAGACAAGCGAAGAGTCTGAGACCAGATTACATTTCTAAGAAAATCTTGATAACGTAAATTGTATTGCATTGTTTTACTGGTCAAAACACATAAAACTCTATAGATGAGCTTGGGATTTGGAACCAAAAAGTTGTATGTAGTATTTTTCCTGCTGAGTGTGTGTATAAGATAATTCCAGTGGATAGTAGTTTCAAACAAATATGGTTTAAAAACTTCCTGTCTTTTTTTCTTTCATGTTGTTTTATCTGACCTGTTCATTGGGATTGTCCGGAGACCATCCCAGCTGTGTTTGGTGGATTTGCCAACTCTCAATTTGTACCTATGCTTCAGAAGCAAAACAAATGGATCAGTTTGAGTTATCTGTTTGGATTTTTTTCTAATTGCAAGCAGAACCAATAGAGTCAGAAGAAGGTGAAGCGGCAATAGAAAAAGCAAACAGGAGCTGATTAAAGGATGATCTGACCTATTCTCTTGTCAGATGTTTGTTCTGCAGCTCTTAGGGCAGAATTCAAAGCAGACAACAGTTCTGAGCAGTACCTGAAAGGAAGGACTCTGTTTCAGGTGACACTGATTGGCATGTCCACGAGTGCATTAGGTGGTAATATTATTATCTAAAACAGACAAGAGACAATATAAAGTTTTCTTAATATATTACAAATACTGTATCAGCTTATTCTGCTTATGCTTTATTCAGGGTTTGACACTGTCATTTTGCTGACTGAACGATTTAGAAAAAAAGGCTTTTTAAGGTACTTAACTCATTCTTGCAACTCAGCCAAACAATTTGGGAGAGAAGTCAGGTCTTGCTGAATAAGATACCTTGAGCTTGCAGAAAATGAAAGGATTTATTAAGCCTGCAAAGAATAATGCATTATTCTTTTCATTTAAAATTTCATTTTCTTTAGAACTTGTGTATGATTGAAATCTACACGTTATCAAGCTGTGTGGGATTTGTAGCTAAGAATCAGGAGGTCAGATTTGGGGAGAGAAAGTAACTTACAGTTTGAAGGTGCTGCACGCATCATGGTGGTATTTACAAGAGTTGTGGATAAATCTAGAATGTAACCAAGTTTAAAAAAAGGCCAGAAACTGAAATAGTGAAGAAATCTCTCCTAGAATTGTTATTTGGACATTTCTCTGTAGTAGGTTTGCCTGGAAGAGTATGTTGCAGTTCTAGGTGCTGTGATAAATCAGGACTGGATGTGACTCTTGCTGATCTCATGAGCGAGTTCTTGAG